TATCTGGGTTCATGCCAGGCTCTGGAGAGTTCCATGGGAGATCTAGGCAGTGTGCAGGCTGGTGGTACGTGACGGATGCAGGGAGGTGCAATGTCAGGGGTCCTCCTAGGGGGAGACTTTGTTGGGACATCATTTTATCATTTTGCATCCCATTGTTAAGAAAACTATTTAGATTATTCTTTTATTCCATTTCTAGGGAAACTCTATTTAGATCATTCTTTTCCTGTATTTCTTTAAGAAATGCCAACTGGTTGACATTGCATCTTTGTATTTATGTAACCTGATGGGATTTCAGACAATGTTATCATCTCCACAAAGACAACAACATGAGTTTCACTGACTTCCCAAGGTTCACCCAGTGAATAAGTTCGACCCTCTGACTTCGGTCTATGTTGACCAGATCCTGCAAGAGCCAGCTCATTCCTGGGACCGTTAGAGAGATCTGGACAGGGTCCGCTCCTTTGGATCAAGAGAAGATTCATGCAAGAGCCCCGACAGGGCCTGAGCCAAGAAGACATGGGCCCCTTCAAGCAGCGGCAGCTGCTGTTGTCAGAAAACTGGCCATTCTCTGACACTTCAAGAGTATGTTTTGCTAGTTCTGTGCTGGTAGGAAGGGTTGTCTGTCCACCGCCACCCCTGTGGCCTCCATTGCAAGTTGAGAGCAGACCTCAGTGATGGATCCCCGAGGCCCACTTGGTGTGATTGTTGGCCCTTGTCAGTATCGACGTGAAGAGGACTCGGCACATGACCTACTATGGCATTCCTCCATCTGCAGGCTTGGTGACACTCTGCAGGACCAAGCTAATAGAATATTCAGGGTCAGGACCACAGAACACAATTATGCTTTTCTTTCTGCAGAAAACTGGGAAGCAGTGCCAAGGGTCTGGAGTTCTTGAGATTAGGTTTTATTTTCTTTGATTTCATTTAAAATGCATCATACTTTTGTTTGTTTCAGAAAACCTATTATTATGTATTATGAACAGATTATATATAATATAATATTATATACATGTGTTACTTTATTATTTGTGCACCACCTTTCCTGACAATTTTTGGAGGTTTCTGAATCTCACTTTCTGCAGTTAGAAACCAGAAGACGTTTTTAAAGGACTGCCTTGGCCTACGTGGCCACGGAGAAGGGTGTCACTGACTGAAGCCCCAGACAAGAGAATGTTGCTCATTCCCTGGAAGGACACACTGTATTTGGATGCTCGTATAAATCCAAACTATCTCTGATGCTCCAAAGATGGGAAAAATGAATACGAGGCTGAAAGTGAAATCATTTGTAAATGGCTCTCATCTGATAGCACAATAGTCCAGGAATTCAACATGTGTTTTAGGCTGTCTTTTCTATATCATTTTCTTCACAAATAACCAAAATATTCCTGAAATCCTAACACTTGGCAATATAAACCATGTCTCCCAGTGTGACCACCTAACCTGAGGTTCTTGTCTTTTATTTTATTTTTATTGATTGATTTTAGAGAGAGAGGAAGAGAGAAGGAGAGAGAAATAGAAACATTGATGTGAGAGAACATTGATTGGCTGCCTCCTGTTTGCCCCACACTGGGGATCGGGCCTACAACCTGGGCATGTGCCCTGACTGGGAATCGAACTGGTGACCTCTTGGTGCCTGGATCGACACTCAACCACTGAGCCACACCAGCCAGGCGAGGTTCTTGTCTTTTAAAATGGGCTCGTGGTAATAATATTGCTTCCTGAACCACAGTGTTGTCAGTGGACCTATAGATACAAAGTGCTTCTTACCTGAAGTGTGATACAAATATTCATTACTACTCCTCAGCGTCTGTGTGCCTTGATTTGGCTGAGGATGTATGTCAGTGGCGACTTGGGACCTCGGCGAACATGGGACTACCAAATAAAGACACTTTCACAGTACGTGTGTTATGTTGTACCTCGCTGTTGTAAAATTGTTTTTATAAATGTCTGCATATTATTTGCAGCTTTCATTATTGTCCTATTAAACTTTTTGGCTACTAATCTCTACTCCATTCTTCTCCCAAGCACACTTCCAAAATAAAACTTTATGTCCCTTAAAAATCTTTAGTTTTTAAGTCATAAATATTTATAAGAGAAGAGTATATTTTGTCTTCGTTGTCAAATTTTACTACTATGAAATTGCTTTCCGTTGGGGTGAGTCATTGACAACTTCTAATAAGGTTTTAAAACTCATCGTTTTGTTGCATCGCACTAGAAGACACTGTGTCATTTTTTTTAATTGTGAGGGTGGGGAGGTACGAGCTTCCCTCCCTCTGAGGAGTTTTGGTATCAAATACAAAGCTATTTGTAGTTTTAGTGGATAGTGAAAAATAATCTATTTTCACTTAATGCACGGAGACATGTTTTTCCCATTTGCTTTTAAACTTCCAGAAGGAAGGGTGTCATACAAAGGAAGACAGCGCTGAGACGTGGCACCAGTGGGATGGACTTTGTAAACACTGTGCTAAGCGAGAGAAGCCAGACACAAAAGGTCACGCGTCGCAGATTCCACTTACATCAGATGTGAAGAACAGGAAACCCAGAGGGACAGGAAGCAGATTGGTGGTGCCAGGGCCTTGGGAGAGAGGACAGTGGGGAGTGACTGCTTCATGGGTACCTGTCACCTTTGGAACTGGTTAGACAGGATAGTTGTACAACATTGTGACTACTAAATGCCACTGAGCGATCTGCTTGCAAATGGTATGTTTTGTGTGGTGCGAATTTCACTTCAATAAAAAGTAAAGCTGTTAAAAATAGTCAAGGTAGCATCAAGTACCACCTGCAGAATGTACATGTTCAGCCACTGGTATCCGAGAACCCTGTACTGTGCATTTACTCGCAAGATAATCTTGATTATCTGACTCCAGTCTGAGTGACAAGGAGCCATTCAACCAGTGGCCCACTTTGGGGAGTGTAGATACTCACTGTGTCTGAGTTATTTCCCCCTTCAGTGTATTTTCAGTTTTATCTTTGCTCCCAGGTGTCTCCTCTGTCCTTTCCCACTCCTGACACCCCTAGTTCAGCCCACCCTTGCCTCTGTGCTGTGCTGTTGTAACAACATCTTGCCTGAACATTCTGCTATCAATAAGCCCTCCCCATCCATCTTTCCTCGTGACATCGTCACATCTTCCAAGTTTGTTACCTTGATCAAACCCAGGCGCACCTGGGGCTGTAGGTTTTTAGTGGCATTCCATCAAGAGCAGAGAAGTCCCTACTCCCCAGACTGCATGCAGGGCCAGCCCCCAAAGTTTAGCCTATAAAAATCCACCGGTCCTAGACCTTCTGTCTCGTCTTCAGGACTGTCTTATGCCACCACCGAATGTGTGGCCAGGCCAAAGAGGCCTATGTGCCCACCTGGAGCCTCTCCCGCTGCAGGCCTTGCCTTTCTGCTCCCTCTTTCTCGCACCGCCTTGACTTGCTGGGCTCCTGTCTGACTTTTGAGGTCTCGATGCCTTGAAGTCCAGTGACTCTTCTCTCTGAGGCCTTGTGCCAGCAGGCACCACGACGTCTTCTGCCGAGTGTCCAGGGAACTCTGTAGTACCCATTGCTGCTCTTTTCTCCGTCTCCCTCCACCATAATTATGTCTGCGCACGAGCAGAGGGCGAACGCTGTGCCCAGCACCATGCGCCTGATGCATGGGGGAGCTACGGTTTAAATTGTGACTTTACCTCCTTCTAGACAAGTATCCAATTGCTTCCCATTGATTTTCAGGCCACCCCATCTTCGCTCTACCCCAAGCCCACCTAAAATATTACCATTATGTATAATAGATTCTGAATGGATATTTCTAGAATGTGGAGCTTTTATGCCTCTTTACTGGGGAGCTATGTGTTTCAAAGGACTATCCAGTTAACCATTGTTTAAGAGAGAAAGCAGGAGACGTTGTGACCACTTATTTTTGTCCCTGTCCTTCATAGTCCCACTAAGTGTCAACACTGATTTGGAATCACTGTGGCCATATGTCTTTTCTCAGTTCTCACCTGATCCACAGACCTTTTTACGGTCTTTTCCTCCTCAAACCCGTCGTATTTGTATCTGTGCCATTAATTTTGCACTGAATCTTATACTTTTTTGTGTTATATTAAAGGACTTCTTCCGTGTTATGCATTTCCATGATGGCAGCAGTTCTATCTATTTCGATGAATGAAAAATAAAATGAAAGAGTGAAAATCCCTTCTTGGTATTCTTAAGCAGGTTTTAAAGAAGTCACTGTTTGAATCAGTTGGAATTCTTTTTCTTTGTTTTTGTACTGCCCATCTAGCTATTTGATAAGCAAGCATCCTGAGACTCCAGCCATCTGTAGATCTTTCATTTATTATCACTATAACCAGATGGTGCCCATCAATTCAAAAACTGTTTAGATTGAAAAAACAACTGTATTGCTATATTTTCAAAAATTGTCTTGGAGGGAAACCAATCATGTTTCAGGCCATAATTTAAACAGAACATTTGTGTGTGTGTGTGTTTGTGTGTGTGTGTGTGTGTGTGTCCTTGGCATTTGCTAGAAGCAAGTAGCTTAAGTAAAATTGAACATTGACAGATTTGGAAAGAGAACCAAACCAGGAGATGTTTAATAAGGTTTTTGTTTCTCAAATGTACCACTCTTTTGACTGCTTTCTATCATTAAATTCTGCTTGTGTTTGGTTGAAAATAAACTTCAAGTGGCTTTATGATTTTAAAGAAATGACAATTTATGTAAAAGATCACCATCACTCTAATAAGAGTTTTAAAAGGGGGTAGGGAGAGAGAGAGAGTGGTTCTCTACAGATTCGGTTTTTAAAACCCAACTCTGTTTAAAGAATTTCAAAATTTTTGCCAAGTGGGCCCGTTAGGGAGGAAAGGTAATGATTCTGATGACAGTTACTCGTTTTGGGAGCGAGAAAGACGTCTCTCCACCGCCCCATGTGACACCGTGACCGTGTGCGAACATGGAGGTGCAGCACCAGAATGAAGAGTGTCCGGTTGACCTCTCCCTTGCTCTTCCTCTGTTTCCGCTGCAGGTCACCTACCTGGGTAAAGTCCGCACCACGGGCATGCAGTTCCTTTCAGGCTGCACGGAGAAGCCAGTCATCGAGCTCTGGAAGAGGCACACGCTGGCCCGAGAAGACGTCTTTCCTGCCAATGTCCTTCTGGAAATCCGACCGTTCCAAGTGTGTCTCCATCACCTCGACCACAAAGGGGAGGCCACGGTCCACATGGATACCTTTCAGGTGGCTCGAATCGCCTACTGCACCGCCGACCACAACGTGAGCCCCAACATCTTCGCCTGGGTCTACAGGGAGATCAACGACGACCTGTCCTACCAGATGGACTGCCATGCCGTTGAGTGCGAGAGCAAGCTGGAGGCCAAGAAGCTGGCCCATGCCATGATGGAGGCTTTCAGGAAGACTTTCCACAGCATGAAGAGCGATGGCCGGATCCACAGCAACAGCTCATCCGAGGAGGTTTCCCAGGGATTAGAATCGGATGATGGCTGAAGGAACTTGGGATGCTTGAGGAAAGGCAGCATTGGTCCAGGAATTCCAGGTGATAGATGAGTAAGCAATGATTCAAATTTCGGATGAAAGACTGCCAAATGATTGGCCGACCAAGCTTTTAAAATTCAGAAGAGCAATTCTAAATCTAAAGAAATGTGTTATTAAAGTAATTACGTTACATTGAACTCTGCTGCTGCTGTGACTGTGAGGAGGGCGGGAGTGTGGATGGGGAGGAAAGTTCTAGACTCGCTCTCTTTTTGGTTCTCCTTGCCCAGTGCCTCCCTGTAGGAGGGCTTCATGCTGATTGTCACCATTCTCAGGCAGACACGCTGAGGCTGTTGTTTGACGGACCATTCCAGTTTGCCTTATGAAACCTAACAAGAATGTTAGATGCACTTATTGGATCCTTAGTCACGGGGGGCGGCGGGGGGAGTACCTTGCTGGTGCAGAAGTCACAGGGCTAAAGGGAAAGTCAGGTGGATTTGATCCCGAATGGCCTCTCATGTTTCAGAGCCTCTCCTCCGAAAGCCAATCAGCACAGCCTTCATTGAGCTTTACAGCTAACAGCCTGATAGTTGGCAGTTAATTCACAGTTAAAGATAATGCTTTTATTTACAGAAATATATCAAGTAGTACCCTCTTATTGTATTCACTTCATCTATTTTTTTAGAATCCTTGCAACTCTTAATAACCCTTCCCTCCCCCTGCCCCGTCCACGTCTTTCCCCTTCCAGCCGCGCCAACACCCCTGCAGGGGTGGATTCTCCGTGTACACTGCGGGGCCCCCAAAGGGAGGAATTTAACCGAACAGATGAAATCAACCATCAAACCAGCTAGGAGTTTAAAACCACCACCGACAGGAACCTTGGAGAAAGGGAGTGAGTTATCAACAAGTGAACAAACTCCATGTAGGCTGTACTTTCTTCGACCCTGATTAATGGTAACTTATTTAGCTGATGGGCCTGTCTGACGCATCCTTCACGGCAAGCTTCGAACCTGACTGGGTATCACCAGGGCAACCTTGCCGCCATCACTCAGCATTGCACTCCAGTGAGTTCTCTGTCCTTGGCTTGTCTAGAGGACCCGTGTCCAGCTTCAGCTAAAGAGAATTCTGACCCGTCCTCTTCCAGTTGAGAGCACCTCAGGGTCGGGATCGCCAGTGCATCCACTGTTCCCGATGAGAAGGTCTCACTACACCTGAGATTTCCCAGCTTCATGGAATAGTCAATGTCACGAACGCCAAGGGTCAACACTGAGTGAAAGGCAAAGTATTTGTTAAAATACGTACATTTAAGGCCAAGAGCAGATGGCTAGTTTTCCAGTTAATGCTGCTCATTGACTAAAGTCTGTTTTTAATTGTGGTCAGTGAGGGACACTGGGCACCTTACAGAAAGAAGCCTTAAATGAGAGCCAATCGCATCCGGAGAGCAATGGTGTTGGTGTTTTGGTCCGTATATCTGTGCGTCCCTGTATGCATCCGTGTTGTGTACGTGTGCCCCCGTGTGTGGGTCTGGGTTTAAGGCATGTAGAATTAGCATGAGTCATACTGAGGAGACCCCACCTCTTGGAGATATGCTTGCTGCTTCCCAACACATGTAAACTATTCTTTAGCATAAATGCATTCATTCCTTAATAAAAATATGTTTGCATTAATAAAGCTGAGGCGTTTCCTACGTTGTCTTTCCTTTCTATGTACAAGTAGAGCAAACTGAGTAAGTAGGGAATTCTATCTGAGCACATGTTCAAACTTGGTCATTAATAACCCGGTCCTCGATTGTGTTTAAAAACATTGTTTTATTTTCAAAGGCTCTATTTATATTTATCACTGCCCCTTAACTGGATGGCCCCATGTCAACAACGGAAACAGTGGTTTAGTGTGCTGAGCGGATATCAGCAAAGAGCCGTCCGGAATACTTTGAATGACTGGGATTTAGAAAATCTCACCTACGTCTTTGGAGCACCCACATGGACATCCCGGGACGTAAACACAGAGTGGTCCTTCTCACAGGACTGGTTAAAAAGTCTCCTCCAGCCCGGCTGGTGTGGCTCAGTGACAGAGCGTCAACCCATGCACCAAGAGGTCACCAATTCAACTCCCGGTCAGGGCACATGCCCAGGCTGTGTTCTTTCTCACAGATATTCCGTCTCTCTCCCTCTCCCTCCCTTTCTCTCTAAAATTACTAAAGGGAAAATGAATGAATGAGTGAATGAGTGAATGAATGAATGAATGAAATAAACAAACATCTCCTCCAGGCTGGGGTTTCTCAGAATGACCCATTTTTGGAACAAGGCGGGCGGCCCTGGAGCCCGTGTGTCTTGACGCCCTGGGTGGAGTCGGTGATCAGTGTCAGGGCCTGGACAGGAAGCACACGGTCCCCGCTGAGGAAGGGCGTCAGTGAGTCACACCTCACCTCCCATCGGAATGGCATTGTCCCTGGCTGAACGTCTTTCAGTTTCCGGTTGACGCGACTGTCCTTGAACATGCTTCTAAGAGGTGGAGGGAAAAAAAGAAGAAAGAAAGAACCCAGTCAGTATATATTTCAAAACAATGCCACTTCCCCCTCCCCCTACAAGTTGAACCCCACGTGCCCATATGGTTATTGACTGCAAAAGCATTAGCTGGTTTTTTATTTTCTTTAGGGTACTAAGTGTGACATGCGAAGGGCTTGGTTCTGATAATATTGGCAGGAGCTTTGGCTTGCGATGATTAGTGAGCAGTTTAAGGATTAGTACACGACATCTTTCAAATAGCTAATGAAGTCTCTTGGGAGAGCCCACGTTGGTTTCCCTGAGAGGGCTGTTCCCACTGGCGTTGATGTTCTTTGATGTGTTCCCCCCTCCCTACCATCCTCTCTACACCGGCCGTTGCAAGGCCCGTTCCTGTGCATCGCCTCAGCTGCCCCTCGGGAAGGTGCTGTGGGTGACCAGGGCAGTTACTTTAGAGATGAGGACACCGAGGGGCAGAGAGGTTACGGAATTGGCCGAGACAGCCAACGTGGGTATTTGGAAGGCCACTGGAACCCTCTGAAATCTCCCGGGTCCAGGGGCATTGCCCTGTTTAGGCAAGACCTACCACTTCTGAATTGTCTTATTCCTATTCCTCTTAAAACAGTCTAGCTTATTTTAAATGAACATACTAATCCACTATAAACAAACATCTTTTGTGATTCATTTTTGAAGTGTTTTTGATAGCAATAGAAAGCTTGAAAAGCCAACAAAAGCCCAGGAAGTTTGATTTCAGCACAAATAACATGTGAGATTTTGCTTAAGTATTTTTTTGGCTGTGGTTAACAGACCAAATACCCTCTCCACCCCTGAGAAACCAAGACGCGTGTTTTGTTCTGTTTTTCTCCGGACGCGTGAAAACTCTACTCAGATCCTTTCGTTGCAGGATTCTATAGCATCTTGTAATTTTCCTTCACATCGTTCAATGCAGTTTTCAATTACATACTCATTTGTATAGTTATGTAAATGTTTGTTTAGGCCTCTGAGGTAGAAGTATCTTGAAGATGGGGACTTTGCCCTTCTTTTTCAGGTTTTATGCCCAGGTATTAAGGCAGGGCCAGGCACGTAGGAAAAACTCAGTACGTTTCTGTTGGGATGGAGGGAGGGATAGACACAGGGAAGTAAAAATCACTATGTGAGCCTTTGTTTTGCAAATTCTATCACAGAATCCTGGAACTGAGAAAGACTTTCTGGCCCACTTTCTTTAAAGCAAATGGCTTTTTACTGAAGAAAAACGTCATCCCTCACCTAATTCCAGAAAGAGCTGGTGGCGGCTTATAGACAGAAGAAAACTATTCATGTCAGCGGCATGATGGAAACAGAACAACTGTTATCCCAAGGAGGTAGACAGATAATGTACTTGCAGACACCTGCATTTAGAGGGTTACAGAATTCTTGTCAGACATTCATTTCTGTTTATCTCTGTCACTGGAAGAGAAGACAGAGAGCGGTGGGGGAGGGCATTTTTAATTTGAGTGTTTGAGCATATGGGTTTAGCTGGCCTTGCCCCATATTATACCTTAGAAAACATTTTTTGTCCTCTCTTCCTCTTCTCCTCCTCTCCCTCCTTTCTGACCTTAACTAATTATTTTACATGACACCATTGCAGGCATTCTCTGATTCTAATTTAACTTTTTTGATTATCTCTTTTTAGACAGAGGAAGGGGGGGAGAGAGAGAGAGAGAGAGAGAGAGAGAGAGAGAAACATCGATGTGAGAGTGAAACATCGATCAGCTGCCTCCAACACGCCCACCCGGAAATTGAGCCAGAAACCTGGGCATGTGCCCAGACTGGGAATTGAACCAGCAAACTTCGGTGCATGGATGATGCTCAACCAGCTGGGCCACACCAGCAAGGGTAGACTTCTAATTTTAGCAAGGAAGAGCACATATGCTCTGAATCTGAGATCACATGTTTTGACTCATGTTGCAAAATTTAACAAGATTTCGAACATTGCAGATTACCCTAAATTGCTCTTGTTGTTATATTTCTTTTTCAGTCAGATGGACATGGTGAGCACTTAATTCTTCATAGCTTACTAGCATTTAAAAAATGTGCTTGCTTCTCTTCTCCTCGATATGTAACCCCAGGCTGAACTGGAGTAAAGGTGAAGATCCCAGTGACTGCCAAATTCATATTGATCTTCAAGAAGCTTTCTTAATAGTTGCCTGGGACAATAGTTGGCTTTTAGAGTAATTTTCTGGGACACATTGTTCAATGCAAGAACTTTGGGGGCTCCTTCGGAAGAGGTGTCAGCTGATAATAGTCACTAGAACAGAACTATGCAAAAACCAAAGTCTGGCATGGAAAACAATGGGATGGGTTAAAGCAAAGTGCTAAGAGAAAGAAAAATCTAAACGATCTCTTGAACATTTACAAATAAACTGCATTTGTTGAAAATGAATCTAAGACATAGTTTTGTACACTTGAGCAAAGATGACGTTCACAGAGAGATTTGGGGAAAACGCTCCTCTGGGAATGTCCTGGTAAGAATATTTAGGTGTTGCTTACGTACCCCGATTGGTCATTCAAAAAGCATGTGAAGAGTTTTTCCTCAGGAAACATGTGGCTTATGCTTAAAAATCCTCTCAAGTTCCGACTAAGCTTTCAATAGCTTGGCTTAGAGGTCACGGTAAGAAGATGCTGGTGTGATTGGAAAATGGAATTATTGAAGTATTACATACATTTTTCAACCCTCTCATAATAAATGACCAATGATTATCAGTACTTTCACGTTTATGACTTCGTGTAACAACTGGTGTCCAAATAAAAATGTTTTCACTCCTTGATCTAACCATGCATATTAGACTGAGGTTGGGTCATTTGAAAGCATTATGTGATTTGTGAAATAAGATGTGTTGCTGCACAAGATATGCTTGATTTCAAACCTGTCGAAATATACTCTGGTTGCCATTCCAGAATATTCTTTGTCCTTTAGAGGCAAAGTTTTAGAGAAACATTTAAGGAAATACCAACTTGCAAGGAAGATCCAAGAATTCACTCCAGTCCAGGGTCACTTATTTAGTGTAAATTTGGGGTCCACTCAAACCCAAGCTCATTTTAGATATGAGCAAAATGGTTCTGATTCCAGTTTTGCACAGAAAACAAAATCTAATAATACATTTCATCAGGTCCATGATTGGATTATCTTCATGTAGATGCTGTTGTGGGTGTAAAAATATTTTAATTGGGGGTGGAGGATGGTATTAGACCTTCATTCAGTTCAGCCTTTTGCCAAATATCTCATTGCCTTTCTCCATTTTAATTGCAACAGCTCTTCCTAGAATTCAGTACTGCACTTGTAGAAATTAACACAGTAAAACCTCATTAATTTAGGTAAAACTAATTAAGAGCTTGTGGTTTGGGCCTTGAAAAGCTCAAGTTTTATGATTAGTTTTAATAAGCAAATAAATAGGATGAATAAACGTTATTGGAAGTGTTTGCCGACTAGGGAAAAACACTTCTTCTGCATATTAAAATAGCAATTTCCCAGACAGATTGTAATTTCAGAATAAGTAGAAGCTGGTACAAATGAAATTGAGGCTTAGATGTGCTGGTTCAGAGATATTCTTCTTTATTTATTAAAGTGGGATCTTCAATAAGCAACAGATGGTTAATGCAATTCTTAGAGCCCCTGAAAGTAACAAAATTCTGTTAAAAAGTACTTATCATTTACACAGATCTTTCCCTTTAGTTAGTATAAATGTGTGGTCTTATTAATCAACCCCTCAAAACCTGAAGTGATGAACCCCTCCTGCTTCCCAGTGACATATCACACTTAAACTAATTAAAATGATGTTTTCTGATCATCCAGCTTGAATCAATTCCTACTTGCTACTCATTTTGTTTTCTTACATTATCAAGACACTAAATTACCATGACTCACCTCAAGAAGCCCAGTGACTCTTCAAGATTACATAATGAAGTAATTATGGCCAATTATATTTAGTGTTCTGATTTGTATTGAAAGTGCTACATTGCATAATTTCTCAGCTCTGACTGTGTTTATGACTTGAGTGACCATCATGCTAGCTGCACGGTGTAGAGGTCTGAGGGTGACTGTACCCAGCGTGGAGCCTGTGCCCTGCCCCAGAGCCCTT